CCCTCCATGTTTGATAGTCGAAAAAAGGATTCTCTTTCAAAGATCTGTCAAGGAATTTTTGCAGGCATATTTTTTTTCTTTTTGATGCCAAATTACGAAATTTACTTTCAATTGAATATATTACATTTTTTTCAATAATTATGTGTCCTATTTAGATGATTTTTGGCAAAGGAATGTTAGCTCTGTTCACTCGAGAGTTGAAAGGTTTCTTGAGTGCAACTCGGACATATGATAGTCACTCTTTTCCAGTTTTCTTTGAATTGTGGTTAAAGTCACGCTTTTTAGCAATATCTCAGAAACACTTTTAGCTATTTGGGTTGAGTTGAGTGTTTTATGGCGCAATAGCCAGTCTTGGCTAAACTGCGCCAAACATTCATAGGTCTGTGGTCTGGACGGGAAAAGAAGAAATTAGATGACAAGATGGAGGGTCGAAAATAAAGAAGGATCACTGGAGTACCCCGGGGTCGTGACAATCGTGTTTACCAAAGATAGTAAACCCCTTGGGAAAAGGAAAAGATCACTAGGGTACCTCGGGATTGGGACACCCGTACCCACCTAAAGATGGTGAGCCCCCTGAGGGGGTTTAGCTATTTGGGAAGTTTTAGTCTGGGTTTTTTTTTTATATAGAACGTATTACAAAGCAAGATTCTCGAAGTGACACTTCAGACGGGTGACCGGATCTTGGCTTGGACGTTAAAATTTTAGTTGATTTGTAGTTGATGATCACTTTTTGAATCAATGAATGTCTCCTATTAACAGTTTCAACAATTGCTTCAAAACGTTTCCTCTTTTCTGAAGATTAATGATGATTTTTCTTTCAATAATATATCGATCCCTATTCTGTTGCCTGCCATGGGACCACAAAAGCTTTCAAATCTCAAATCCTAAATAAATCGTTAAAGAAGCTTACAATTACTTAAAAACACGAGTTAGTGCAGTTGTTTTACAATAAAAGGTCTATAAACGCTCTGTTTTGTAAGTGTACTCAGATTTTTGGCGTGGATGACTGGTGATGATTTGGTGATCATTCTTGTTATTTCCTCTTAGGACGAATTTTGTTGCTGTTGTGTATGAATAAGGAAATTTTGAAGAATTGCTGGCAAGTATTTTGATTTTCTAAAGCGAGATTTTAATAGTAATAGCACAAGCACGTAAGATTGCCTGTACGCAGACATTCGGAGGCAAGTGTACGTACTATCGTAACACTGCCAATGTTCATCAAGTTGGTAACCCCGATTTCGCATGTGTCGAGCGCGCTGAATTTGCAATCATTTGCTTCGTTTCATGGCGAATTACACGTAAGTACCATTTCGGCTTCTAGCTGCTACATAAAAAAGGACAAGAGAGGTGATATTTACTTTTTAAATGCTTGGTTGTATGAGACAATCGTCGATCTTTGCAGAGCTGTTTGGACGAATTTGCCTTTGTTCCACTTATCTTTGCTTCTATAAGCTGTACATACCTCTGAAAGTTACATTTCAAATTGCCCTTTCACACAATTTTCTACTTTCATTCGGTTTTTTATTGAGGAATTTATGTAAGAGATTTGTGTGTCAACTTTTTGTTGATTCTACTCGGTGTAGTTTACTCGCAAAGAGGGGAAGTAGGCTTAAGGTATCTTATATTCAAACAAGACTAGATATAGTTTTGATCACCACAAAGGTATCAAAAATATATCCAGTGCTTAGACGTTATATTTTTACTAATAAAAAAGTTAGAGGGCAGACAGAAGAATATTTATTCTATTTTTATACATACAACAGTGTTGCTTTATATAAATTTCCGTTTGTAACACATAGCATAAAGGAATTACTTATTTATTTACCTCAATTTAAATCGTGCTTCCAACGATTCATAATTGAAATTTTAATAAAATGAAGTTGAATCAGCTACAATTTTCGAATTATTTTCCTTCTCTTCTCAGAAATCTGGTCTCTCCAAGTGGCTGGGTGCCCAGATGGTTGAACTGTCTGTCCTGTCGCCTTTCATGGTACAAATCATCCTGTGTGTCTGCACGGCTACCTTGACTGAAATCATGAGCAACTCGACGGTGGCCACCATATTACTCCCAGTAGTCAATGAGATGGTGAGAACTGTATGGCTTTTATGGTTAAAGAATGGTAAAAATGCACAAAAATCATCAAATCACATTTATTTACTACTTCTAACTGCCACTTCGGTCAAAAACGTTGCAAGTTAGCCAATGTCAACAGTATGGAATGTTGCCAATCTGGCATAGCAAAATGTTACAAAAGAAAATGTTTCCAGACTTACAAAATTAACAAATATAATTTTAACAATTAGAAACAAAATTATACTTACACTTATGAAATATATTCAAAAATTATGTACAGCTATTTTATTTTAATTTTAATCTGTTACTTCTCACTTATGTAATTTTTATATCTGATTAAGAGAAAAAAATTTCATGGTAGAAAATTTGTAAAAATGAAAATAGTATTAATTTTTACTTTACATCTGTTTGGTCTACCTTTGGTAAAAAAAGTTTGGAAATTCGATCCGAAATTCATTTTTTCCTCATCATCGCAACGTTTTTCAAACTGTGGGAAGTGCCCCCTATGGGGGCGTGATAACTCTAAAAGTGGGGCGCGAACCTATTGAAAAGTCGAAAACAAAAGATAATTTATAAAAAATATTGACTGAAAGTAAACAAACAAAATACATTCTGTCATAATGAAAAATAAAATACACAATTACACTGATGTAATACATTTATAAATGTTTCAGTATTGCATAATGTTTTTTATAATTAGTTTAACAATACTAATTTAAGAACAAGTTTAATAATTACCAGTAACCCCATGAGATTGTCATATATAAATTTAAATACAAAAATTAACACTTATCTTTATAATTTGCACGGTTTATAATTAATCACTTAACTGCCGATTAAAAATTACGCGATTCGCTTCCCAATGCCAACCGTTTCCAACGTAAGCGCGAGCATCTGATGTATTGGGAGAGGAATAAAGAAGCAAATAAAGTGAAATAAGAGTAAATCCTTCGCAAACATTGTCAAGGTAATTTTTTTTTGCATTTCAAACCCTACGGAATAATTTTATGGATATCAGTGCACAGACAAGATCGTACTCCGGAAAGACGTATATATACGTCAGGGGAAATTAACGCTTTGGCTGAACGAGAAGTTTATATACTTAGGTGGTATATAACAGGTTAAAGTCGTATCGTAGTTTTAGCATCAAAATATAGTATTATTGAATTCGCGATACATTGTTGTTGTATGAAGGGGGACGCGATAAAAATTATAATTGAATATTGGGTCGTAAATATTGAAACTTTGAGAAGTACTACATTATCGTAAGTTCCATAAGGAATCCTTCGTTTAGAACTGATACGCTCAAATTCTCAACGTTTTCTAGATGCGGAGACTAAGATTCGTGGTTCAAATTTAAGCAGCGTTTTTGGTTGCAGTTATCAATCCTGGCGTCTAAAAAAGGATCTAGATCCATGTTAATGGGTGACGTGCTTCTGTGTATAATTTTAAATGTAATGATGGAATTTTTTCCCCCCATTATATACATATCCACCTTTTACAGGGACTGACTTCCATCGTATGCCACAGATTTAATTCCTTTGAAATTTCAGGCCATCGCATTCCATGTCCATCCTTTGTACCTGATGCTGCCCGTGACTGTGGTCTCATCCTACGCGTTCATGTTGCCCGTGGCAACAGGTCCCAACGCCATAGCGTTCGATAGCGGACGGATGAAGACCATAGAAATGGTAAGATAATAAATATAAGTTAATTTTTTATTTATATTGAAAATAAATAAATACGAATACAAATATATACAATGTGTTTGACAAAATGCCTCTCGTTAAAAAAACACTTTGCTCGGAAGTCTGAAAAAGATTGCAAAATCAAAATGACATCAAGTGGAAATGCAAAATATGGGAGGGGGACACGACGAAGATGAAAGAATGCAATTGAACGCAATTTTTTAAAAAGGAAAAAATGCATCATTAGAAAAAATGAGTTATTTTTTTATTTAGTTAAAATTGTGTAATCTATTTTTTTTTCAATATTCAAATTCAAACAATGGTGAAGTGGCCATGGCGTCACATTTAATAATTCAATAGAGAATTTTATAGCGAGATTTAAAGGAAAAAGAAACAGCAGCCACATGAAAAATATTTCAGAAATCTACAGTTGCAAATTTTTGAATAGATATTAAAACAGTAAAATGCAATTATCAAGTTTTCATTGAAAATTTTTTTTGTATCAAATATAAAGTAAAATCAAAAGAAAGCTTCTCCTGAATGTGCCAAAAAAAAAAAAAAGTGTGTGTGTGTATGTATTTATGTACGCACGTAAGAAGTTATACTTCTTTGTCGTAACAAGATTAAAATCCTTCTAAAAATCTTTAGCAGGGCAAGCTGGGCCAAAGACGAAAGGCAGTCATGAGCAGAGTTGAACGATACTAGCCTTCAGTCAATCGGACCAGCCAAACCTGAGATAATCACGATTTAAATAAATTCAAATACCCCCGCTCAGGAACAATAGGACCAATAATATGGGGAGGGGGTCAAAGGCGGGAATGATCTGTCCCATTCTGCATATTTCTAGACAAAGCATTTTGGTATTCGTTCCTAGGGAACGCAAAGCAGAAGTTCGTTGACGCGGGTGTATAGCTCAGTGGTAGAGCATTCGACTACGCATCGAGAGGTCCCCGGTTCAAACCCGGATGCTCCCTTCTTCAGGGAAGTGTAGAGAAATATTTTTTTTTGAGAAATTCGAAGGCGAGAATGTGATCTGTCCCATTTTGTGCATATTTCTAATCAAAGCATTTTCGTATCCGTTCCTACGGAACACAAAGCAAAGGTTCGCTAACGCGGGTGTATTGCTCAGTGGTAAAACATTCGACTGCAGATCGAGAGGTCCCCGATTCAAACTCGGGTGTTCCCTTCTTCAGGGAAGTGAAGAGAAATATTTTTTTGAGAATTTCGAGGGCGGGAATGATTTGTCCCGTTCTGTATATTTCTCTTGACAAAGGATTTTCACATCCGTGACGGGGTGCGCGCGCATTGTAAAAATTTACCCTCATCCTATTTCTCTAACGCCCCAAAAAAAGTATAACTTCAAAAAAATGTAAATGTCTAAGAGAGAGAGAGAGAATAAAAACTAAGACACATAAAAATAAATGACACAGTTTTCATCAATATAGGTTTATTATAATGATTTAAGATACATTTTCAAAAATAAACGTTAACGTTTGAATCTTTTTAGTCGCGTATATAAACCTCAGAATAAAATCCTCGTATGAAAATAGGATTTATTTAATCAAAATTTTCATAATTATTTTTTTATTGTATCTCCCTGTCTCTGAAGAAATCCTTCAGATAACAATAACATATCATCATCATTCACCAATAATAATATACTTAAAAATCTCATTAATAATTAAGAAAAATGTGCTTTCCGAGTGAAGTAGGTTAAATTTTCTCTAACAGAAAATTACTAGTAATATTTTATTTAGATATTTTTTTCTCTTTTTGCTGAAATCAACCAATGTAGTTAGAAAAAAAATAACATATGCATTGATACTAAAAGATAAAAAGAATAAAAAGTTTAAAAAAGCTCCATCATGAAGAAGGTTTGATGCATGGTTCGAGGCTTTAAATCAATTATGTGGAAATGTGGACGAGTGGCCAACTCATACGTTATTCTAACAGCTGCCAATACGAGGCCCGGCGCTAATAACCTTCAAGTAGCATCGAATTGCGACGTTGATAAAACAATCAATCTGTAATATAATACAGACTTTATATTACAGATAGATCAAAGAATGCAGTTTCCCAAACTTTTTTGTCTCTTAGACCCCTTGCCATGTTTTTCGTCCTTTCGTAGACCCTTCTTACCTAATATTAAATTTTAGCACATTTTAACTTAAATGTCTTAGACAGCTGGTATAGAGTTATTTACTTAAAAAGAGATTAAAGTTTTTAACCATAGTGAAGTATAGAGTTTAAAATTTAAGAATCGCATGTAAATTATTTATTTATTTTTTTTTTTGAGATTGGCATTCGTGATGAAACCTTGCTCACTAGGAAAAACAATTAAAAAGAGAGAGAGTTCCGCTCGATATTCCATAATTCAGGGTAAATAACAGGAATGTCTTTTTTTATAGCTAAAATTGCTGAAATCCGTTTCTAAATTTTAAGATCTTCATTAGTGCCTATTCCGATCATTTCCTCTTGTAATATGACATTTATTTTCTCCAATGGGATCATATAAATTTCTTATTATAAGTCTACTGTGGTATCACCATAGTTAAAGAATTTTCAAACCTTGTTTCAAAATCTGAATAGAGGCCATATAAACGTTGAACGTAAGTTAAAACGTCATTTTCCTGGCAGATTGTCAGTGACAAAATGAGAAATTAGGAAAATTCGCTATGTCCAATATTATATTGCTTTAGCGTAACTCTGGGAAGAAAAGCTGAAATGATGGTCCTTGTTTAAAAAAAATATATGCTGTCACCTTGAACTGTGCAAATTAACCTCATTAAATTTAGCAACTAAATATGTAAGGTGAACTCTGGTTTCCCTTTGATTACATTTTCGTTTAAAATTAAAAACACGATCTGGTTTAATGAGAGCCACTATCATAGACCCTCATTTACACTTCATGGACCCCTGAATTATTTTTTCACCTACATGGACCCCTTGTGAGTTGTCATATACTCCTGAGGGTCCATATAGACCAATTTGGGAATCACTGAAATAAGATTGTCATTTTAAAATCAATGTTACATTAAGAAAAAAATACAAAATCTGTTGGCAAAAGATATCGCTATCTTGTGTGTGATTCGCGTTTATATAATTAAAGATTAGGAAACCCGAGCTTTTTTGTATCCCACTCTCCAAACTTCCACTATACACCAACGTGAGGTATGGGAGTCTAAACAGATGGAACATCTCTTCTTTACGACGAGTCTTTATTGGAACCAGGACTTGTGAATGGACGACTCGACAGAAACAATGCTGTCCACGAGTTAACTACCTTGACCACTCAGCTAACGTGATCACTGTTAAGACACTAAGATACTGCAATGCTAAAAGAAAAGGATGGGATCAAAATTCTCGATTTCTAAGAATGAGATGCAAGTAGTTGGATAAATAATACTGTTCTAATTTTAAATTTTACTTGTTCAATTCCTACTATTAGTTCACACTCTCCTTATATATATATTTCTCAAATTTTCAATCGTTAATAAAATGCTTTTTATTCATCCTCTCAAGTTCAAATACATTTTTTTAAAATTTGTAGTGGATGACACTTGATGTTAATACAGTTTTTTTTCAAATATTAATTCATTAATTAAATTAAATTAATTAATTATAGTTAAAGAGAGATATTTCAATCGATATTATTCCTCTATATGGCAGCACCATTGGATAAAACAGCTTTTGTTAAATTTGTGTGATGAAGATTTAACTAAACCCCTGAATAATCATATATTAGTTAGACGTCAGCATTCCTTTTACACACTGGTTTTAAGATAAATTCTTACCTATTACATTAAACTTTTATTAAAAAATGTAATTACAAATTTAATGTGGTTGAATTGTTGTTAATGTAAAAGGTGTTTTGCCACTTAATATTGTCATTCTGTCATGAGTGAGTGAATATTAACGTCGCACTGTTCAGCTACACGAGGGTTTTTGGCGACGGACCTCGTCATTTTGAACCCCTGTCAAGTGACACCTGAGCTGATGTACAATGCGTGATTTGGATTCACGAAATGAAATGACTGCGCGTTGTTATGGAAGCACATTTCCTGAATGAAAATCAATAAAGCGACGGCGATTAAAGAAGTCGGCGGCTTTTCTAGAAGTCGTTTCTGTTAAATCAACTTGGGAAGCCTCACGTGAACTTCAAAGATCGTAAATAACTTGACAAGAATAAACTAAATTCATATGACGTCATGAGTCACATGATAACGGCAGCCACGAGTTTGTAGCCAATCAGTTTAAAAACTTACGTGACGTCATAGTCACGATAAATGCAGTCATCTATTTTTAGCTCATCAGATCACACACTTCGTTGTAGCCAAATTACGTTTTTTACAGAAACTTTTTTTAAAAAAAAGTAATATTTGTCACTTTATTTAAAAATACATACATAAAATAAGATTTTTTCTTAAATTTTAAAATTTTTTTGTTCAAGTTTCTTTTTATAACATTTGAGCATCTTTCCCCAATTATGAAATTTGAAATTTTATTTAAGTTTTACGAATAGAATAAAAAGTACGAGTTAGTTTAATGTCAGTTTTGAATTCAGTGCAGAGCACGTGTTTGCCTTTATCATGCGAGTCCATTCTTTGTCAAAAGGTTGCATGATTATAAAGAGCACGAGTGCAAGGCATGTGGAAGAACTCTTGGCGGGAGTTGGAAGAAAGCTTTAACATTCTCCAAGGGAGCCCACGTTGAAATTTAGTGAGGTATAAATGGTCTTATAAAGAATTTAATACTTACAATAATTCCAAACAAACATGCATCTAGTAAAATGGGTTTGATCACAATAAATATTTATAATTAGGGCCAAAATTTTGGTCTATCCAACATATCTATGCGCTAACATTCTTGTTTATATACAAAACATTTGATTTTAATATACTTTTGTCATCCCCTTTTGTTTCCTTTCCAGGTGAAGCCGGGCATCGTCATGAACATTCTTTGCTGCTTCGTTCAGTTGGCCATGGTCAACACTCTGGGGACATCCTTATTCGATCTGAACACTTTCCCGTCTTGGGTCAACACATCCTCAGGAGAGGGAAACTGGACTAGAACCTTCAATTCATCAAAAGCAATCACCTAACCCTTCGTTGTGTTCAATAAAGTGATGCCTTTTTCGAGAATTTTGCTTTGTCTCAACAAATCATGAACTTCAATCACTGAAGTCCATAGATCTAAAGAGACTATGAAATTTAAAAGTTCTTGTGTAGTGTCCTTTTTGATTTAGAACTCGAACAAGGATCACTTGTGAGCAAAACATATTTTTTTAGAACAGGAGTATTTTATTTGGAAGGGGGGGGGGAAGTATTGGAGTGAGTGAATATCAACGTAGCCTTATTGAGATACATGAGGTCCTTTTGGCAACGGACTTCATAATTTTGAGCAATGGCCAAGTGACGAGGATAACACCTGAGTATGCACCCAACTCTCCTAACTTCCACACCACACCAACGGGAGGAGGTTTGAGCCTCGACATATCTAACCTGCAATGGCCCCTTCTGCACGGAGGGTTTTCAGTGACATAAAGGTCGAACTCCGACCATGTGAATCCGTTATCTTGACCACTAGACTACCGTGACCACAAGAGCTGAGAGAGAGAGAGA